CATAATATACAGGAAATACTTTGCCTTTTGTTTTCTTCGGCGTTTTCTTTTGTTTATATGATTAATTTAAAGAAAATACTAAAAATAACGAAAAAGAATTAGTTAAATTTTATTTTATTTCATTTTTAAATTCACGCGTCTTTTCTGTCGGGATATTGTGCTAGGGGCGACAGTCCCGAACCCCGTCCAAACGGAGGGAGGGAGAATGCTGTGGATTTGTTTTTTGAAATTTTGTGTATTTTATCGAATTAATTACAAAATAATTAAAGATAATACTTAAAAATCAATTAAAAATTCAAAACACTCTTTCAGAAATTATATCTTTTTGAAATACCCCTTCGGTGACTTTTTTTGAAGCCTTCGGCCGAGCCCCATCCCAACGGGGGGAGGCGAATTGCCGCCGAAATTTTCGAAAATTCGTGGAAATTCGCTGGGGTCTTCATAAATGAAGCCATTTTGCATAGAAACATATATAATGAGTATAAATATATGTAAAGTAAGAACGTGGGCATATCTTGCATAAACATAATTTTTGTAAATTAAATTCAGTAAAACACAGAGAAATTCCCTAAATAGGAAAAGGGAAAGGGAAATTTGAGTGAAGAAGGTACAGGTTTGACCTCTTACCCCCTTTTAGGGGCTGGGCGCAGCGACGGGTATATTTCCTAACCAAATTTATTTATTTGGTATTTATATAATATAAATTCAAAATAAATAGTTAGTGTGTGCCGGAAGAGAAATGTACTTGCCACACTGCTCTCTAGGGGAGACCTTGTATGCCCCTAGGCAGTGGGGGAGAGCCAGTAGGTTTACGTAGATTAAAAGTAATTTTATTGATTTAAATATAAAAATGGCTTAGAAAAATAGCCGAAAGAAGGTGACGGCCTTTTAATTTTGGTTCTTAGATAGAGAGTAACATCTGTGCTCCGGAGGGGTGACCGGAGCAGTCGCAGGCAACGGTCCCTCGAACAGGGCACACGCCTTTTTGCGACGGTCCCTCGAACAGGGCACACGCCTTGTATTCGAGGGAACTCCACTATAGGGCCGGTTTGCCTTGTTTGGGGCCGGGATTCCGCCCGTTGGCACCATAGGGACTCTTGGGATAGATAGGAGATAGATCGATAGCGTAATATCAGGGCTCCCAACGAAGGGAGGCGAAGCGATGCCGAATTTTTCCTAGAATCGTTAGTAACTTCTTCTCTCTCTTACTATCACTTCCTGATTTTCTTACCACTTGTTAGCTAGGCATCAGTCTGATGTGGCCCCCAGCCCCGATCGAGATCTACGAGGCCAGCTGCGCGTGGGTGATAGAGGCTCCGAAGCTTATAGAGGGCGACCAGGTAGAGCTCACCCTTCCCGGGCGGCCTACTGAGTGCCTTGATAAAGATTTTCAATGGAGGACTGTTTTCCTAACCTCTGATGCTTGGCAATTGATATACAGACAGCATGAGACGGAGGAGTATGGGGGTTAGACGCGAGGAGTAGTACGGGCTTATCTTTACTTAGGGGAGGAGGCAGCCAAGGGGGCTGCTTTGAGCTTAGCGATTAGGGGGGCCAACTCGATTATCGATAGGGCCCAGGATTTTTTGCAGCAGGAGATTGATGAGTTCCTCGTGGATGACACGCAGAATCCATTGACCCTGTTTCACGGTCGGGCTCCTTTTGACGTTTCGGGCGAGCTCTTGATAGCGCGAGACTCGTTCTTCCCGTACTCTAGTACTTGCCTGAGAGCTATCCTCCCCTCTTTCGTGGTGGACTCGGTCTTTGGAGGCATAAGAGTTATCGTGGAGTCGTACTTAGCCTATAGGGAGCAGGAGGCGTTTGTCAAGAGTAGTTTAGACGAGTGCTATATATACTACTCCCTCACGATGGGGGGGCTCCGTTGGGGAGACGAGAGGGTTCAACTGATAGAGTTGATCCGCTCGCTAGGGGATGATTGCGAGAGAGGAGTAACACCACCCTCGTACGTTTGGAGCTGGCTGGATCGCGAGCTCCGGACAGGGCCAGAGTACGTCACCGGTGTCGGGAGACTCTTTTGGGAGGATTGAGAGAGTCTGTGGAGTGAGGCCCCTAGCGGACCTCTGATACGTGATTATCAGTTGAGTCATTACTACCAGACACTCGAACTTCGTCCGTATCGTGTGGAGTACGAGTACGACTACAAGGGGTGGGAGCGAGAGGACGACGAGGATGCGTGGGAGCCGGATTGGGTTGACCCAGAGAGTGAGGTTGACGAGCAGGACGACGACACGGCAGACGCGCACTTCCCACGCATAGGAGTACCGATTAGGGCCTAGGCAGATTATGCCGCGAGGCGAGTGTGAGCTAGGCTATTCGGCAGTAGAGTGAGAGAGTGAGATAGGAGATCCTGCAGGCAGATGGTAGAGGGGATCGAGAGAGTCGACCTACCCTTTGGTGATTTCAGATGGCCTAGACCACCCGAGATCATAGCTCATGACTTGGTGGAGCTTGATCTACCGGCCAGATATGTCGATGAGCCAGGGCTGATTGACCATTGGGGGTCGACTCGGTTGGGGCCAGACGTGCACCTATGGTCATATACCGTTCAGACTTACGAGTCTGATCCGCAGAGGTGGCGGACGCCTGGCACGACGTCCATAGAGGCCGTAGGGCATATTTATTACTTACATAAGGTGAGCGTCGTCGTCTATATCCAGGGCTTGGTGCATGGGTTCTGGCGGTATGAGAGAGAGGTTAGAGAGATCCTGACAGGCGTGATAGAGAGTGCACGAGAGGGGATTGCGGATCTGTATGGGCCTGTCAGGGAGACGAGGATTACGTTTCGGATAGGAGGGTTTGCTTTCCCGACAGTCCGACTACGCGCCAGGTTCCCGGTCTTTGTAGTGGACCAGCTTTGGGGCTTGGGGCGCGCCGGGGAGAGATATTTCGCGGCTCTAGAGCTCGACGGACTAGCTAGAGGGCAGACGGACCGGGACTGGATTGCCTACGCACAGTTCGTAGGCGGGCCTCTTATTGGAGAGAGGGGGATACAACTCATAGAGTTCTTACGTGCTCTAGCGCCTACAGCAGACCCCCACTCTTCCTTCCCGGGCCAGCCCTTGGAGTTCTGACTGACACTAGATAGGGAGGTCCAGAGACCAGTGGATAGTGTGGAGGAGGTCGGACGATTCTTTAGCGAGACTCCCGGTGATAGGCCTGCTTCCCTCATCTCTATCTGGGAGTTGGAGAAGCATTACCAGGGGATATATCCAGATAGAGAGGAGCTCGAATGGGACGCAGACGATCGAGACTGGGAACGCCTCAGTGACACAGAGCCTTGGGGACATGACGAGAGATTGTGGAGAGACGTGCCTGACGTAGGGCAGGGCGAGATTGGTGCCGATATAGACGGGCCGCAAGAGGATGGATGGGGACATCTCCTTCAGGTCGAGGGACAAGAGGATATCCCATGGGGTCAGGGGGTAGATGAGGATGGAGATGAGGATATGCCAGATGCGCGAGACGATTAGTGGCAGGGCATATCCGGGCGTAGCTTAAAGAAGGGAGTAGGAGATCGGTTAGTAGGCAAAGGAAGAAACTTTATGCAAGACGAGAGTGGCAGTAAGAGCAGGAAGGGATGGCGGACAGGGATACACTGAGAGTGACTCTTTCCTTACGACGAGATAGCACTGGCGGCTGGGAAGAAGAGGCGTTGGACAATGTTAAGCGACAAATCAGACTTATGACGGAGCATGCCCTGGAGATACGGAGAGGCCAGAGATACGTCGAGTTTACTATCTACTTCCATGAAGTTGACGGGAGAGTGCACATCACCTACTCGACCATACTGGACCTGAGTGGGAGAGTTGTCTGAGGAGTCAGCAACATCGTGAGATAGGGTGCGTCGAAGGGAGTAGGGTGATACAGATCGAGTGGCGAAGTGGAAATGAGGAGTGACTCGGCGGCTTGGCTAGCTTATGTTATCTCACGAGAGTCCGAATCCTATAGCGTGAGGAAACTTGTAAGACCCAGAGAGACGGCTGTTGGATATGATATTCCTCTTTCTGTGAGGCTGGAGGAGACACGCTGTGTTCCAATACGTTACCTTGGAACGCGGCTGACAGAGAGACTTTTCCTTTGGACGGTGATACTGAAAGATAGACGACCCGAAAGGACTCATGACCTAGAAGGAGTCGGACATCTGATAACGGATATAGCTCATTATTTAGACATAGGACTGACACTCGCAGGGGCTAGCAGGGCTTGGTGGAGAAATGAGTTGTTGGCCAGAGTGATAGTTAATCAGCAATTGGCGAGACTCTCAGGAGGGAGGTCGTAGTGAAGTCGCTTGGTATACGGACCTCCGCATCCGACCCTCTACCCGAAAGAGGGTTGGCGATTTGGACTTCCGGCGTTCATAATAGGGCAGACCTACGGGAGCGTAGACCGTCTGAGTATAGCAGTGGATCACGCACTTTACGCGCTTTGGGAGGGCTTAGCTCCCCGTTTCAGGGAAGCGTACTACTCTATTTGTCTAAGGTGGGGGCCACCCAGCAGAGAGACGCTTGACGACATCATAGACGTTACTTGCTGGGTGGACTGTCTGAGGCCAGTCAATCTGATTAGGTACTGCAGGAGACGGCCAGAGATCGATTACGCGGGGCTAGAGGACGCGAGATTTCTCTTCGAGGTCGCAACTTAGGGAATGTCGGGGAAAATGACAATTGTGGTGCTCTTAGATAAGCAACTGGTAAGCACGGGGTACACCTGTCTCTTATACACATCTAGATGTGTATAAGAGACAGGCAGGAGACGAGCGGATATTGATTATGTGGGTCTGGAGGATGTGAGATTTCTCTTCGAGGTCGCAACTTAGGGAATGTCGGGGAAAATGACAATTGTGGTGCTCTTAGATAAGCAACTGGTAAGCACGGGGTACACTGTGACGGTGCTTCTCTAGGCATACATAGAGGAGGACTTGACGGAGAGGGAGTGCCGATCACGAGTCAGGGAGCTGATCGGCGAGCATAGAGCTGATGTACTGGTGCAGGTGACCTTCCAGACCTCGATTTCCTATGACGTGATGATATGGTCTCGTGGTTATATGCGCGCGGAGCACTACCATGATGAGACGGTAGCGGAGGCTAGAGCAATGGTATGAGGATGAGCTGGAAAGAGATGTGGTCAGAGTATGGAAGAGGAGAGTGAGGAGGTCGAAAGAGTGAGAAAACGCATTAAAGAACCACTCTTGAACCAGGTAAAGGAGTTGGGGAACAAGATAAGGGAGATCGGGTCGTGCCAGGATGAGGGCAAGCTGCGTAGGGTTGAGCTCATGACGAAAGAGTTAGAGAGTTTGTTCAGGGAGGATAGAGAGATTATCCAGGCGTGGAGATCAGACTTTCTGGAGAGGGTAAAGGCTAGGAACCTATCGCGCGAAGGAGCTAGGGAGAAGACTGCAGAGGACGTGACAACGGAGGATAAGGTAACGCAGGGAGATAGCAACAAGACATGCGCGGGACGACCCTACACACAACGGACAGGTACTCATTGCATGTGGTAGGGAGAGTGGACGGACCGTTGATATTAGTGATCGCAGAGCTCCAGCTCCATACCAGGTTGTGCATAGTTGAGGAGACAGAGTATGTTCGTCGTGCATTGCATGAAGCTAGGGGAACAGGACTTTGGATTGGAGTGGAAGGAGGACAAAGGATAAAATACATACTTCGAGTAACACCTTTCGAAGGACGGTCTCAGATAAGGGCATGGTACGAGACGGCCAGAGAGGCTGAGAGGTTGAAGATAAGCGAAGCTAGGAGATCTGGGGAGCTAGGGAGAGTCATAGTAGACGGAGCAATACTGAGGGTGCTAGCTGCTCACGACCGATACTGGGGAGAATCGATAAAGACTTTGGAGGCTATAGAGGATAGTGGGGATGAGGAAGATTTTGAGACGTTCTATGATATATTGGAGTTGTTGGCGATGAGATTACGAGCGACTACAGCACTGACTTCCCTCAGATACTAGACAAATGACCTTATAGTTGTCTGGGAGTTAAAGGAGGAGAAATAAAAATTGGAAGCTCTTGGAAAGATAGTGGAGGTCAGTAAGGTCAGAGTGGCGGCTTTAGATGGCAGTAGGAGGAGAGTTTCCTCCTTTTGCGGGCTACCCGATTCAGGACGGACTAGATGATCTAGCAAGGAGGACGGAGATAGACGCTTGAGGACTCTTAAGGGGTGCTAGTCGGGAGGAATTGGTTAGGCTTGGGACTGCGATCTGCAGCAGGAGTAGAGATCCTGTCACGGGTGTAGTGCAAATCAGGAGAGGCGCGATCTTGTTGGCAGATCCCGAGGGAGAGGTTTACATAGACACTGGAATTCTTGGGATAAGAGGAGAGCACGAGGTCCGCGACCGGAAGGGAGTACTGGTGGCAGTAATCAGAGCAGTCGAGAGCTAGGACTGGAGACGAGCGCGAACCGTGACAAGGAAACAGGTCCGGGCTGCTGCAACTGTCATAGGTCCGGGCTGTACCCAACTACAGCTTCTGGTAGCCTATGGAACCAGACACGATGGGGCCACAACCGACCACGGTTGAAACAAGAGAGGATTACAGGACATCGCCCGACCGAGCACTGAGGGATCTGAAGGAACGGATTAGGCAGGGAGCACCGTTGAGATGGGCTGACCAAACCAATGACGGAGAGCCTGACGTAATGGGCGAGCCGGTCGTGACAGAGCCGCAGGAGGTTCTGAAGGCTGGGACCTCGAGCGCTCGACGAGAAGCGACGACACGACGCTCCCCCGAGTATGAATGGAGGGAAACCAGGGCGGATAGGCACGGGGACGACTGGAGAGAGAGTTCACGAGATTCCTATTGGAGGGACAGAGACAGGGATAGAGCACCGCCCCGGCGTGTCGTCGATCCCCAGAGGGGGAAGTCCCATCCGCTCCCTTACGAGAACAAGGATCGCTACATTATTACGCACAAGGCCTCGGGGCCTCCTTCGTCAGGGGCTATGGTATCACGAAATATCTGGAGAAGTGGGAGCTTCATGCTAGCCGGAGTCAGTGGTCGGAGGAAGAGATTATAGAAAACTTCCTACTCAATGTAGATCCAAGTCTCGGCAAGGAAGTTAAGGAAACCCGACCGAAGGATGAGAAATGGACTACGTATAAGAAAAACCTTATCGAGCTTTACAAATTAGAGGATAACAAGTACTCCATCAAGGACCTTGAGACTATGACTCAAGATGAAGATGAGAGCGTACGGGCATTTGGGAAGCATTTCCAGAAGATATCCGACGTCCTGATGAAGAAGGGGAAGATCTCAGAGGTCGAGCGCTGTACTATCTTCATTGGACACGTGTCCAAAGGCAGACAAAATAGTATACTTAGAGACCTCCCGCGCGACAAGCTTGACTTCCCTGAAGTCCTAAAGCTCGCGATAAAGGCAGAGGCAGATGACTACAAGGACTTGGTATGAAGAGGAATGAGGAGGCGTGATTTCTCTCTCTATAAGGAGTATGCCACTGATAGATGTCCTGATTTCAAGGACTATCCCTGGTCGGAAAAGAATGAAGCCGTGGCTGAGGAAGTGAAGGAGATAAGGGACATGGTAAAGGGATTGACAAGACAGGTTATAGAGATTGTGACCACCACAGGAGCCACGACTTACCGGGACAAACCCGGAGGGCCCTATTCACTTCGCTAGGACCGGAGGAACACCGATTCCTGGAGGAGTGTCGAGGATAGAAATCCTCGAACGCTAACTGATTATCGTGCTAGGGAAAGGGAGAGAGACGATGAACCATGGGGAAGTAGAGATGATGATATAGACCGGGACCGCAGGGCTCACGAGACATATGGGCAAGCTAGGAGACTGGATGATTACTCGCGTAGCCCTCTCTATGCTGATGGGGGTAGAGGCGACTCTCGAGGCCGGTGGGAGTCAAATCAGGGCCGGTGAGACGGATACAGGGATGACAGATATGAGAGATCGGACCGAGATGGATATAGGGATGACAGATATGAGAGGTCGGATCGAGATGGATACAGTGGTGGCAGGTATGAGAGAAGAGATCGAGACGGAGACCGACGAGATGACTCGCGCGGACGGTATGACCGCGGGGGATTCGCGAGGGCGCAGCGTGACGATTCGCGGGGGTGGTACGACCGAGGAGATCGACGTGATGAGTCGCGCGGGCGATAAGACCATGGGGACCACCGGAATGACTCACGAGGCCGATATGAGCAAGGAGGATCCAGAGGAGACCGCCGCAATGATTCGTGCGGCCGGAATGAGAGAGGGGGATATGGCGCGTCATCGGATCGGCATACAAAGTCCCCTGACCCCAGAGCAGCGAGGGGTTCGGCCTCAAGGAGCGCAGACGACAGACCACCCACTCCCAGGAACTCTTGCGTCTACTGTAGAGGGGATGATCATATCAAGAGAGAGTGCTCGGATCTCAAACAGGCAATAGATGAGGGACTTGTCGTGCTTGATGACCGCAAGTACGTCAAGTGGGTAGATGATCCGGGAGACATATCGATGTTCCCTTCGATGAAGGAGAATGTTGAAGCAAGGAGAGTAAAGCTGAGTAAAGGAAAGGAGCCGGTTAGGAGTCTGAGCATCAAGATAACATTCGAAGGAGATATGACAACCACACCCATAAGGGTGACAGCTACCAAGTCGGCGAGGGGGTCTACATCGAGGAAGACCGATACGGATTACGTGATGGCAGAGAAGGACGAACAACGGATTGATGAAGAGGAGGTTATTCTTTCACCGCGAAAGCGGAGAGTGAAGAAGTTCTTGATGAAGAGTTCGCTGGATGAGATTGACACGGTCGAGCCACTGAGACGGGCCCTTCGACAGCCCATGCAGTGCTTTATTCTGGAATATCTGGCATCATCCAAGCCGGCTCGCGACGAGTTACAGATGATCACGCGGAAGACTCGCATACCTCTATCAGAGGACGCTCAGATGGCCCCTAAGGCGGATGTTCCTACTGTAGCAGTATCGGAGGTGACTGCTAGAGCAGATCGCATGGCGACAGTTCTTCTTGATGGGATGGAAGGTGTGCCTCCAGACAAGTTTTACATGCTTGGTAGTGGGACCGTAGAGACGATCCTAAACGAGGGAGCGGTTCTAGATGTTGTGATCGATAACGGCAGTGAGGCTGTCATTATAGACGAGGATCTAGCAGAGCGAGTTGGACTGAGACTTGATAGGTCATACCTATTCGAGATAGAGGCGGCTGATGGGAGGAAGCAACAAATCACAGGGGTTTGTCATAAGGCAGCCATAGAGGTCCAAGGGGTACGAGTGACCCTGCCAGTCTTTGCAGTTAAGAACTGCAGCTATGACCTGCTCTTGGGACGGACGTGGTTGAGCCATGTGCATGTGGTGACGATAGGGCGACCGGACGGGAGCCAGACACTGTCCATCAAGAAGCTAGATGGGGCGTGGATTATGATTGAGACGGTGGAGCCTCGAGACCCGAGGAACAGAGCATCTCTCGCTGTGGGTGCAAGACCCAGTGATCGGATTAAGTCATTACCTATCTCCAGCCGCGCGGTGCGATTTCGCGAGAAGAAGTATGGACCTCTACTCATAGAAGAAGAAGGCAGGATTGTAGAAGTGGAGGATTTAGGGAGTCGACTGATAGTGGACGACAACTCGTATCCAAAGGAGGCAGATGAGGAATTTGGCGGCGTGGTATTTGTGTTTTTTTTAAGCGCACGGCCCCTTATGGGGGGCTACCCAAGCGACACAAGCGAGTAGCTCAGAAAGTTAAGCCAGCGGCGGTGGGCTGCGAGCGATCTGCACTGGAAGGAATATCGGAAGAAGAGATCGCAAAGGAAATTAAAGAAAGAAAGAAAAAGGAGCCGCAACGCCTAACGGAAGAGAGGATAGCAGGGATGGACATCGGGGACGGAAATTTGACCCCACAGGAGCGGGAACGTGTGATAGAAATCCTGAAGACATGCGATAAGGCTATAGCTTTCAGCTACGCGGAGCGCGGTACGGTTGACCCTCGATACGCTAAGCCTGCAAGGATTTACACGATTCCACATGTTTCATGGAATGACGCAGGATGGAAATACGCCCAGAAGGAGAAGGAAGAGGTTATCGCTTTCCTGAAAGAGAAGATGGCTTCTCATGTTGCAGAGCCATCAGACAACGTTTATGCTAATCGATGGTTCTTCCTACGAAAGCCAAATGACAAGATCTAGTAGATTCAGGACCTTCAGAAGGTCAACGAGGTGACGATACGAGACGTAGGCTCTGTGCCTCACGCTGACTTACTGGCTGAAGGCGCTGCGGGCAGGTCGATTTATTCGGTCTGTGATCTTTTCTCAGGCTATGATGAGGTACCGCTTGATCCCAGGGACAGGCACCTCAGGGCTATGCACACGCCATTGGGACTGATACAAATGATGGTTGTCCCTATGGGTTGGACTAATTGGGTAGCCGTTTTTCAGATAGCCATGGTAGCCGTCCTCAAGGAGTTTATTCCTGACAAGGTTGAAGTTTTTTTGGATGACTTTCCTATTAAAGGACCAGTAGAGAAAGATGAGACAGAGGTTGTACCAGAAGTTAGGAAATTCGTCGAGCAGCACCTAACCGATATTGGCGCGATGCTTGAGCAGCTGGATGATGCAAATTTGACAGTCAGCGGAACAAAGAGCCGGTGGGCCGTCTCGACTATTAAGATCTTAGGCTTTATCTGCGACTCAAAAGGACGCCGAGCGGATCCTGCAAAGCTAGACAAACTCTTAAATTGGTCGTCGCCGTTGCATAGTGCTACCGAGGTCCATCAATTTCTGGGAGTGGTTGGTTATTGGCGGATTTTCATACGCAGGTATGCGGAGAAGGTTGAGCCATTGAGGGTACTTCTTCGGAAGACTGAGAAATTATACTGGGATTCTTCTCAGGAACTCGCTATGCAAGAGCTTAAAGATGAATTTAAGGAGGGAGGGCGCGTACTGGGCTTGCCATTCTTTGATGATGAGGTTGGGAGACCCTTCATAGTATCCACGGATGCTGGACCTTGTTCAGTTGGTGGGCTGCTGTCGCAGAAGGACGCTGAAGGGAAGGAAAAACCGTTAAGATTTGAGAGTAGGACACTTAATACGGCAGAGTGTAACTACAGTCAATTCAAGAAGGAAGTGTTAGCTGTTCTGCGGTGTCTGGACACGTTCAGACACTATATCTACGGACGACGGTTCATCCTACGAGTAGATTCCACAGCGGTTGCCTCTGTCCTCCAGAAGGACTTCAGTCTGACGGATTCGACCATCGCACGATGGTTAATACAGATTCGACTCTATGACTATAAAGTTGAAAGAATATCGGGTACTAAAAATGCTGTGGCGGATGAGCTTTCTCGGATCCCTCTTGAGGTCGAGCGCCCAATAGTAGCTGGGGCCCTGACAATGGCGGAGCCTAGACGCGCCGATCGATTTATGGTTAACCTTTACGAGGGCAAATACCGAACGATCGGGCTATATTTGTCAAGAGAGGAGAGTCAAGATTCAGATATCCGGAGACAAGCGGCCCAGTACTGCCTTAGAGCGGGCCATCTATTCCGAAGACCAGTCGGGTCGGGGATGCCCTTCCGAGTAGTCTGTGATCCTGAAGAGGGACAAACGATAGTTGTGGAGCTTCATGACGGGGTAGTCGGAGGACATAGAGGAGTCAAAGGAACCTACAAAAAGGTACGCAGGCTGTACTGGTGGGAAGGATAGTACAAAGACGTCGAAAGATACTGTATAACCTGCGAAGAGTGTCAGAAGAGAGCTCTTGTGAAATACAAAGAGCCCCTTCATCCTTCCTATCCAACCAGGCCAGGAGAGAAGGTACACATGGATCTGGTGAAGATGCCGAAAGGAGTAGGCAATATGAACTATGTTGTGAACATACGAGACGACTTCACTGGGTTCGTGGATGGTAAACCTATCAGGAGTAAGTCGGCTAGGGAGGTGAAGAACTTCGTCCTAGAGTACTTATCTAGGTATGGTTGTGTCAGCAAGATAGTGATGGATAGAGGGGCATAATTTCTAGCCGACAAGGTTCAGAGTGTGTTCAAGAGAGTCGGGGCTAGAGTTTGATAGCCACTGCCTACCACCCACAGTCGAACTCTCCAGTAGAGAGGGGACACCAGACTCTAATAGCATCACTATCCAAGTGGTGCAAAGGTAAGGACGGCGATTGGCCACGATATTTTCGATACGCAATATGGGCGGACAACGTTACGGTCTGGCCTAGCACTGGATACCCGCCATACACCTTGTGGTTCGGGCGGCATTGTCCGCTCCCCATAGAGTTTCACGTCGACAGCTGGACCACTGTCGACTGGGCGGAGAGGATGTCCAGAGAGGAACTCATAGCTGCCCGAACAAGACAAATAGCCTACAGTTTGGAAGATAACCTTATGACAGTGGCAGATCGTCTGGCAGTGGAGAGGGACAAAGGTAAAGAGAGATGGGACAAGGGCATGCGAATCAGGAAAGAGAGGGTGAGCATAGGAGATATGGTCCTTCTCTACGACGCAGCACTTGAAAGGACCTGAACCAGAAAAATCGCCAACAGATGGATGGAACCTCACAGAGTGGTTGACGCGCTCGACTGGGGTGCCTATATGATAGCAGAATTAGACGGATCCAAGTGGAAGGACCTAGTGGCAGGTGCTAGGTTAAAGTTGTTTAGACCCAGGCCAACACCCACCTTATCGCTGATAGGCCCGAAAGGAAAAGGGAAGGCCAAAATGGAGGATGAAGCCCCCTCGAGACGATTAGAGGCACGGAAAAACTCCAAGAAGAGGAAAAGAGTGGAGAGAAGAAAGGTTAAAGGGTTAGCATTAGGAAGAGAGAAGAAATGGTTATTCGTGCTCAAGAGGGCCAGACGGAGAGTTCGCATTAGACAAACTGGCGGGTCGGCACCTTTCTCGGGCCAACGTCAGAAGAAAAAAAGAATCCTACCCAGGCCAAAATCCCGAAGGAAAAGGAAAGTTAAGAAACATCTTCTTAGCCCCAGAACTCATAACAGACTGAGACATAAGACAATTAAACGCCGACGTGGGCGTCCTTTACGGGCAATGACCCTGAAGCTCGTCGGCTTCGTTTGACGTAAGTGGATAGGGCTCGACGGGGGCGTCGAGAAGTGGTCCGGGTTAACTGTCAGGCGGCCACAAGCAGTGCGCCGCCTGAAATCTGTGGTTTTGGGACTTAGGCTCAGGGACAAGTCCGTGATTTGACGGTACTCTGGTATGACCAGACAGTAAAAATTAGGGGAACTCAGGGCACCCCTGATTTTGGGCGTACTGAACCTTACGAGTAACCCCCAAAGATGGCGAAATGGGTAGCCCCTCCTGGCACATCTAGGGACCGTCATTTCTGCTCGTCCCGAGGCTAGACCTGGGATGGCCGGCTGCGGGGAGGCATCGCGTGTGTTGACCCCGCCGCAATGCTTTTGCATCATATGATCGGGGCTGGAATATCGCCTCAAATTTTTATCAATTTTGGTACCTAAATTAAAAATGGGAGAAAAGTTTATGAACAGTAGGAGGGGAGAAAAAGATGTGGTATTCCTTGATTTCCTTATTTTTTGTGGTATATAAACTTTAGAAAAAATACCTCGTTATTATATGTTTCCGGCAATGAAATAAAAAACAAAGAAAAAAATTAAAAACGATAAAGCAGAAAAGAAACAAAAGGATTCTAACAATTTAATTAAGACTCCCTCGAAATTTATTTTTGGTGAACTTACGGTTAAAAGAGGGGGCAGAATGATTAGAAATGATGAAACGAACAAGAACTAACGGTTATTCGATGTCTGGTCTGATTTTGCTTGGATTAGCCATCGTCAGTTCAGAACCCAGATTTGATCAGATTCTCTGGACTCTAACCCTTTTTTTTACTATTCCCTGAAGATCGAGGTTTTCCACGTTGCTCTCTTGATCTACCTGATTACTGACCCCACTGAGTCAGTCCGAGGTTAGTCACATGGGTATGGTATTTGGCTCGGTACGGATACTGGTTCGGAGAGGTTCGGTATTGTTACGGCGTGGTTGCACCCTACGGTATCCGACGGGCTGCTGATTCGATATGAGTTCGGGGTCGGTTGTTTCGGATCTTCAGGTCGGCAGCCACTGCAACGGTCTATTTTTCAGGTTCGGAACCTTGACGGCAGTCTACTTCCAGTTCGGTATGACTCGACGGCTACATGCTTCAGGTTCGACATCTTCACGATGATTTATCTCAAGGTCGGGGGCGCTGCGGTAGTTCATTTCAGGCTTGGGGTCGTCGCGACGGTTCATTTCAGGATCGGAACCTTGGCACCGATTTATTTCAGGTTTGGGGTCACCACGACAATTTATTTTAGCTTTGACATGACTATGGCAGACGATTTCAGGTTCGGCGCTATCACAATATTTATTCCAAGTTAAGCATTGGCTTTGGTACACTCCACGACACTAATATCAGGTTCGGAATGATGACGGTATTGCGGCATTGTACGGTGTCCCGTATATTTCGGGCTCGATCTTGGTTCGGCACCGACCCAGTTCTAGCTCGATAAGGGTGCGGTATCAGTCTGGTACACGCTACTGCGTTATTCCCAGTAGAATGGGGTGATCAAGATCAGACATTACGAAAAAACAACTCCTTACTTTTACTTTCCCAATTACCGCTGATGCGGTCCCTATAAAAACCGACCGACAATTCGCCCCCATCAAGGCCCCCTTGTGGGAGCGATCTATTTCCATTCCTAACCGCAAAGCATGTTCCTCCTTTATGAGGTTCATTTCTGTGCCACTGTCCACCATTGCCATACAAGTCTTGCCTTTTATCACTACATCAAGACACCCACATGTGAGAGACTTCCAATCCATCTTCGTACCGGTCTCGACCCATTCCGCCTCTTTAGGGATTATGGTCCCTAATCGTACGCTGGCCACCATTTTTCTAGATAACCGCGCCTTCAGCTCATCCCTGAGCCTTGGTGTCGAAGCCAGGACGTCCTTTAGGTTCATAAGGTGATTATGGCCCTCAAGGATCCTGTCCATTATCTCCTCCACATCGAACGCTTCCTCCACTCGAACAACATACTTCTTTTTCTTTCCTTCTAAGGCCTTGTCCGTATCAGTTTTAGCGTCTCTCTTTCTGGCCCGCTGCTCGGCCTTCTCGTCCTCTTCCTTTCTCAATCTATCATCCTCTTCCTCCTTTTCCCGTGGAACATCTACAACCTCTTTCTCCCCACTAGGCTCGGGAATATCTTTTGCCGGCTCGCCGGGGCTCACCGGCCCCTTGGCCCTTGTCCTGACAGCTTGTGACACTCTCCTTGATCTGGAGGGTGGCCTATAAGCCATGCTGGACCGAGGCGTTGGTCCTGAGATCGTAACGCCTGGTAGGTTCCCAGACCCTCCTTGCGACCCTGGAACCATATTGTAAAGCTACACCAGTGACTCCTTACCTCTCCACTCCTTAACCTCTTCACACATATCGGCCAGTTTTTGCTGGTACCTCCCGACTTTAGCCACTCAATCCTTCATCTTTTTCCATCATTTGGCGGGCCTCCCTCCAACAATCTTCCCCTATCTTCGCTTTTCGTGGCTCATTTCAACAATCCTCCTCTATCTCATCATCAGATTCCACTATGATTGGCTCTTCTTTGATGGTGTCGGCGTTCCTTCCTTGCCCCACTTCCTCACTCTCTCCTATTTCTTCCACCCTTATGTCACAGCGGACCTCCTTCTCTTGTCAAATCCGGAACATAGCCGGAGGAGCGGTGGCATGCCTGCCTCGGCTCGTCGTAGGGCTTCCTTCCTCGTTCGGCCAGGGGTCTTTGGGTCAATGTAGTACCCAAATTTGTTATACATATCCACATCATAATTGGTACTGATCAACCCCTCATCTTCGTCATTCCTTCGGACATGGCAAAATTTGATAGTGTGGCCTTTCTGCCCACAATGCCAGCAAATGGCATTCCTCCAATATATCCTTCCTCTACCAAAGCCTCGTCCACCCTCCTGACAACCCTGGCTCCCTAACGCATTCCAGTCTCCATTTCCTCCTCCCCTGGAATTACCACCACCATTTCCCCTTCCGTTTCCTCCGCGGCCACCATTTCCTCGCCCTCGGCCCCATCCTTGATTCTGTCCCCGTCCGCCGCCTTGGTTTCCTTGTAATCCTTGTGGTGTCGGCTGTTGAGGTTGGCTCGACTGCGGGCTCGGGTGGTTTACTTGTTGGGACTGGGGCCCTGGACATCGGCAGGAAGCTGTGCTCAATGGTGCTCCTGCGCATGATCCATGCGGCTCACTTACCGGCCATGGCATGTATGGATTGTACCCAGGCCAAGGACTTGGGGGTCTATAGCCCGGCCATGGCCCATAGGGTGTCGGCGTGGCCTGCTCATGCGACTCAGGGGGTGGCAGCGCTGTCGCTTGTGGGACCTGACCCTTTCCTGAGCATTGGCCCCCTTGAGTCAGATTTTTCGCCTTCCTTTGAGCTTTTGTTAGCTTTAGAGGTTCAGACTCCTCTTCATTTTCTTCTTCCTCCTCTTGCACCACCGCCTTTTTAGTTTTTCCTTGGACCTGCGGAGCCGCCATAGCCTTTCTCGCTGCCTTTGCTTCCTTCGCGACATCCAGTTGGGCTACCGCATCCTCTACCATCTTCTCAAAGTCTCACCCATTGCTCGTCGTGGCATCCAAGACCTTTCTTTTCTTCCTGGCTTGTCGCATTTGGAAGATGTCTACCTGGCGCACCCTTCTTGGTCAGCGCAGAGGCCTC